CACCAGCCGCTACGTACGCAGCCAGGCTGACTTCCAAAATTTCCACACTAAATCTCTCCTTTCGTTTCGCTTCTTTTGCCGGAGGAAGACTTGGCAGCGTATTTTATCTCTGTAATGCTAGCTTTGTGCTGCCAGTAAATAGTTAACATCAGTAAATACGACTAAATTTAGCTTCTAGTACCATGTATGAGATGTTATTTTCAATTAACTGCAATATATGAATTGTCTTTTAAGCAAAGCTCATCATATTTTCAATTCAGAAAAATTATCTACACATATTCATATAATGTTTTAAAAATCACGTGTAAAGAAAATTTTTATCTATATTAATATTATAAAGAGGAATACTTTGTTTAATGGTAATGAGTAGGCTCAAAACCTACTGGGCCGATTTTAAAAATTCTTACACCGTTAAAAGATAATTTATCTGTCTGTAATAAGGGCTGTATTTTTTCATTTCTTTATTATTATTTCAAATGTCACGCGGACGTAGTCGCGGGCAAAATCTAGTGGTGTATAAAATGAGAATATGGCAATAAAACAGTTTATACACGATCGGAATTATCAGAAAATGCTGATAAAAATTGTTTAAAACTGTTTTGTAAGCGGAAAAAATTCAGGCAACAACACTGAATTGTAAACAGGCAATAAACAAAACAGGAAAAACCTCAATACCTTGTAAAATCCCCGTAACAAAAAATCGCATTGGGCGATACAGTTTTTCTATGCAGATGCGCCCATACATCAGTGTCCTATTTAGGATTCAAAATGGTACAGCGCAAGTCCAACTTTAACAATATCGCACTACCAACTTGCTAGTTTTATCTTTGACTTCAGACGTATCTGAGAAATATTCGCCGGTCGACTTGAGCCAACAAAGATATTATTTGCCTGGAAAGTTATTTTAAATTTCTTGAATACGACCGTTTTATAACATTTTCAGTGGTAATTTGAATAAATGTTTTTAATAATAAGGTACACATAAGAATTATACTTCTATAATTATAAAAATAGTTTTAAAACTATTTTACAACCATAGGGGACTGATAAAAAAAAACATACAGACGAATTGAGTACCTCCTTCATTTGGGAAGTCGGTCAATATAACTAAGAATGACTAATACGGCTACTACCTATACTTATTCATAAATAAATTGAACACTTTGTCATAATTCTTTTTAAAAAAATCTTTTCGCTGAGATACTTCATTATAATTAAAAAAAAAAATATCTCACACATTTACGCATGCGCAATAATGATCTGCCGTCGGCCATTATTGCTTGTAAAGCCGACGGAAGATATATAGCTCAATAAAAACTATTAATTACTTCTTTTGTTTAATTTTAAAAGTCCAATTGTTACAAAAAAGTGTACAAATTCAAACTGTTTAATAACTATTCATTAGAATATTAATATAGCCAATGTAATGAAATCTGCTTGAAATGTAAGGATTTTTACTATAAGAATCCTATTGTAGATTTTTTTCAAATGTATTTGCTTTAATTTTGTACTATTTCAACGGTAGTTTCTACAAAAAAATTAACCTAATAGTTATCTTAAAGTAACTTTTTGTACCTCTCTCTACTGTAAAAAAAATTAACTTTAAAAGTTGATCAAATTGAAGTTGTTTAAACTTGGCAAATAATTAGTAACTAGGGAATGTTTATTATATCCATTATTTATAAATCAATTGAGCATTAAAAAGCACTAAATAAATACTTAATTTTTTCATTTATAGGTTAAGTATAAATTATGTTTTCTTTAGATTTATCACTCTGCTAATCGTTAAATAATGTCGTCTAATCTCAATTTATTGAAATATTAAAAAATAAAAAATGAAAAATATTTAAATACGAACTAAAATCTAACAAAAACACAAACAAAGCAACGTATCAACTGAACTTAGCTTGACGTGGCTTGAGGTTGGCGTCAGTACGAAATTCTCACCTTTAATATCAAATTTTGAATGCAAGCCACATTTTTCATTAACCAGAACTTAAGCACGCGTTAATGACACAAATAATACACAAAACAATACGCAAAAACATCAAAAATCTTGAATAAATACACGAAACCAATACGAAAACATGCAGTTGTTTAATTCACATTCGTTCAGACAGAGGGCAGCAGTGTCGTGGCATTCAACATGGCGATGGATTGTTTCGTTCTGATTGGACGTTGACCGCAATGTTGTGAAGTTAGCTACGATGTGCGAGTGAGATGGATTTATGTGATGTTTTGGCGCTGATGAAAGACGGAAGATGTGTTGTTGGGATAGTACATTTGTATGCCGACAGCATTGCGGACCGGTTTCGTCAGAGGCGTTTACGGAGCTTGTATGTGCGCATCGCATTCGGCTATGTGCCGGCAGCAGGTAGACGGCGCGCCAACTAAAATGACGGATCGCGGCCGCATCTCGACGCATTTGAAATAAACTTTTTTGTTAAATTCGCTTGTATTTATTGTTGCAGGTAAATTCCAAAGACTTCGAGAAATTGGAAGATGATGATCGTAAGCTATGTTAATTGTATAAAGAACAATCCTACGTAATAAAATGGGTCAAAATTTAAATGTCGCTTTTTTATGAATATACATAATGCTTACATTTCAAGGTTGATATTGTTACAAATACAATAGTTATAAATAAAATGTCTCAGTTAATGACAATTTTATAATGAAACCTTAAATTAAAAAAAATATCAAATCTCAAAAAGTCATTGTGTTTCTCACAAACATCTAAGTCTGTAATATTTTAAAAACAGAATCGTTAAAGGTTTGTTTATTTTCAACGACTTTTTTTAAAACTTAAATTGCCCCAATACATAAAAACTGAAATTTTTAAATATTTTTAATGCGTAAAATTTATTACTCTGGTACTTGTGTAATAAAACGACATATTTCGATTATTATGTTTCGACGACAGCCGCCTAGTAGTTATGTATTGTTTGTTGGATTAAAAAAAATAAAACAAATTCATGCATAAGCACATCCAGAATCCCGGATATAAAAATGCCATTAAAAATCATAATTAAACGATACGTGTAACATCCATTAGGCCCAACGTATTTATATTAGATAAATTTATTTTGTCGTGTAACAGGTAATAAATATGCTAATTCAACACTATACCGTCCGTATGTCGCCCTGTGTCTCCTACACTGAAAGAGTGAAAAAGATATCAGAAAATTGCACTGCGCATCGCTATTTTCAGTCATAGAACCTTCGAAAGTTATCACGCGAAAGTTTACTTAAGTTCTTTCAGTGTACGGTCGTATATTTAAGGCGCGGATGCGGTGACTTACATCCTTCTGTGTCGAGGCTTTTAGTTTTATCGACCTACGGCAACTACTAACCCAATAAATTTTGGTGTTTCGCTCAGTGAATCCGTTCAGTGAACGAATGCATCGTCCCAGATACGAATGTGCGGGATCTGACTGGTACGATTTATGTTCGGATTATGAGTCGCCAGCAAAATAAATTCCCGTCCCGATCAAACTTAGTTTTACTGCTTAATTGAACCTGTAAGAGCTTTTAGTGTTTTACTTCTGCGAATTCAAATGCAAATAAATGGAAGATAAACGACTTCATCCGCTTAATGAAAACAATCAGAGCCAATATTTAATTGATGGGCAAACCTTAATTAACTTGTAGTTCGGCGGAGTGGTTTCGGAGCTTCACAGATAAAATAAGCCATCTGCATTTCGGTATTCAAATTATTTTCCAAACGTGTTCTCCGTTCTAACCGGGCGGGAACTCACGAAATCGTGGCGTCACGCTCACTCCTGCGCAGACAGGTCATGCGAGAGCGGTCGAACCCTTCTCCTTAGATCCTTAGCGACGGAAGGGTAATATAACATCCAAACTCATATGAACCAGAATAAAAAGTAAAAAAACACATCACAAAAGTTTGCCTAAACTAACCTCGTTAAGATGTCTGGATAAAAGAATACCGTTTTTCAGTATCGTCACGATTGCCTTGCCCAGTGGTACGAATAGTGCGATCCGCGTTGCTTTACTGATGTGCGCAATCGACATTTTTTAACCGGCTTGTTTGTCGCACTATAACGGTATTGTACAAGTGACGGGAGAAAGTCAGCATTGTACCCTACGGGATAATATTCTGAGGGTTCTTTGTCGTCATATTCAGGAGAAAGTAGCGTTTGTTATACAAAAAGCCATTGTTAAAGAACCGGACCATAAACGGCTTAGAGTTTTTTAGTTTCCCAATAACCTTCTAGTAGAATGTTTGTGTTTTGTGCAACGGTGCTACGCTATAGCGGTTCATAAATTCAGGTAATTATTAAAATATCTGTATAACATGAAAATTTAAAAATTTACGTGGATGGTATGGTACAGGGCGGTGTACCCGCGTCGTTTAGAAACCTAAAATGATGTATGTGATGAGTTTGCACCGGAAAAAATTAAGCGGGAACAACGCGCTTGAAAATTTAATCTCTCGGCCATGTACACTTTTTTCCCGGGGACATATTTACATCTCCGTTGAAATTAGATACACGATGTCGTCGAGTTAATTTAATACACCGAATTTATGCTTGTATCGTTTCATTTAAGACTTTGTAAGAATCATTTGTGTTTTTCCAACAATAAAATTGTAAAATATGTTGTGATACTTTCCACAAAACAATCTTTGGCGATGTCCAACTTTTTGTTTATTATTTTTTCTTCTAAACTTTATCTGCAATTAGTCTTTAAAACTGGCCATTATTTAAAATATAATTAAGTAATAAACTTATCCGTACACTTTCTAAGGGTATCTTAATGCTCATAATACATGTATTTACAAGTAGATTAAAAATTCTTATTTCAGAGTACTAGGGCCGTAGTACCAATGCACTAACCAGTGGTCTCGGGCAGAAGGCGACGTATCTTACGGACATACATACAAAGGAGTCGCTTAATTAAACTAGCGAAGCGGCCCGAGCGAAACGTAAGCATTTAATTTATATCCCTGCAGTAAACTGCGCGGGATCTTTGCGGCCTACGTTTTAAAACAAAACTTGTAAAAACATAATCGAAATATTGGCATTTAATGTTTACAATTATTGTCAACGGCGTGTTATCATTGTACAACAAAGGCCAAAGGGATGCCTGGTTTTATTATTTCAATTTGAAGTCTTTAATTTTTATGTTACCTGCCTCTAAAGCGCAATATTTAAGTACTTATTTTGCAAATTTAAATGCAAACAGTACTGATGAGCACTGGCAAATAAAACTTTCCAAGTCCCTTTTTAGATTAATTTTCATTGAATTTTACTCTTTTTGTTGTATTATCAAGTAGACATAATGTACCCTCCATATTAAAATAGCAGATCTCGATAATTCTTAAATAAATATGTCCATACTCCTCTATTTTAATTTTTATAAGTGATATCCATTTTATTCAAAGGCAACATTGATGTTAATAAAAAATAGGATTTTTATCAAAGCGTTTACTTAAGAATACATTTTTCATACATATTTCTTTACATATAGCATACTAGATTTTCACGCGTAATCTAAATTCTTTCTTTGTCTGCTAGAGACGGATTAAAAATACAGTAAAAAAATATTATATAGTTAATATAAATATTCCGAAGATAATTGTTACTTTAACAATATCTTTATTTGTATCTATTCGAGCACAAATTCAAAATAAACATTTAATATTATCCCCCGAGGCACTTCCAATGACCACTACAAGTTTAGCATCTTGATTTCCCCAAAGTCGAATTTCAAAGCAAATTTGTCTGGGTTCTGTTTAATAGTTATCTTATTTATTGCTCGTATATTATAAACTTACATATAGTAACCAATATACATTAATTTATAAAGTGATAAACAACGCTTTATATGTTGTGATGTAGCACCAAGATAGATCGTGATTTATTTTTATGTAACCAATATTTAAGTGCTTCATAAATTATAGCAAACTAGCTGTTTCCATGCGTCTTCACCCGCATGGAATTATAAAAACTTTATTTTATTGTTTACCTTTGTCAAATTATCAATAACAAATGTCAAAATGACATAACATTACGATAACCTTGCTTCCTTGATGTTGGCAGCAACTTATGGTCGCTTTCCCACATTAGGGTTTTATCAATATATTTACCCCTTAAGTTCAATGGCGGGAAAATATATAGCCTAAAGCCTTACGTAAGTGTAGGACTTTTTATTAAAATAGGAATTATTCAAAAATATACTGTAATTGCTGAGATCTTAGGCAACAAAGAAGTTTGTGTTTACGCTTTATTATTATAGTATAGATTGTTAAATCTATAATATATTTACAAATATATTGTCTCTAAAAAAACTAAAAAGATTTTAGAAGAACGCATTTAAATTTATATATCGTGAAAACTAAAATTGTGTAGTCTTAAATATTTTTTTTGTAAAAAAATCATAGGACAAATCTAAGATCTAAAAGGTCTTTAGAACTAATAAAGGAATATCTAAATGTAATGTAATTTCAATAATAATAAATTAGTTTTTAAATATAAATGTGAATAACTTAAGAAGATACCAGAGCTCGCGCGAGTGGCCGTCTCTAAATTCCTCTAGATCTTTCCACCTATCCCGTCCCTTAATTAAGTCCATACTGGGCAAAGACAACAATGGCCGGCTCCCGATGCGCACCAAGATATTCAAATATGTCTAAACCCGCTGCTATATTGCCAATGGTTAGAGGACTCTAGTGAATTTTGTAATTACAATGCGCGATCTGTTTTATTAATTCATTTGTTTTAGCTAGATTACTGTCATCTGTTTTAATGCGATATTAATAAACGATTTTATAATTAACAACCAAGAAATGTGGGGTAAATACCAAGCATAAAAGGCTAAGTTAATAATATTGTACAAGTCGTTTTTCAGGAATTATTAATGTTTATGTCCATATACATACCTTAATTCGTGTTAATTTTTTATGCATAATTTACATTAACATTCTAACGATTTTTTATTTTTATGTTTACAAAAAGGTGTATTTTTCCAGTTTGTAGTTTATTAAATTACATAACATTTAATTAATAGCTTATTGTAAAATATATTGCATAAATATAGTCGGTTATTCGTCTGCCTACTCGGCATTCTATCCTACCAAGGCTTCGCATTTGGGACATCGATCCCTACGCCAGCGTCCGTCTGGCATTCTACGCGGCAGTATTTTAAATGTGTTCCATTTTTTTAAAATGTTGCTTAAATTTTTTCAGTAAA